ACACACACACACACACACACACACACACACACACACACACACACACAGATAGATTCAATTTAAATAAGAAATTTAAATACACACATGCATGTCCACATGCGTGCGACCATACACAAATAAACAGATGATTAAGTAAATGTAATTTAAATAAGAAAATAAAAACCCTTCTCAATCCAAGATGGCAGCACCAAGAGCATACTATGCCTGACAAGCAGGACAGCAATGACTGCACAATGACCAACAGAACTGAGAACCCTAAAACACCAGCAACTGTGTGTCCCAGTTGAGAGGAAACCCCATGGTGTAGGTGGCAATCAGGCCCAATCTCAGGTCACCCAGTTAAAGCCTGGAAAAGTTCCCAGGTGTGTCCCAGAAGGCACTCGGTTGCCACCTCAGAGCCACACACCAGTGTGCTCTGATAACCATCCCAGACAGGACTGAGCACCCCACAAAACCAGAGTGCTACACCTATGCCAGTGTCGCCATAGTAGCATAAGCTACAGGGCGGGGGATATGCTTTCTCCGGAAATTCGCCCCCTGGAAGGTCCCTGGCAAACTCATCCTACTTGGAAAAGAGACGTGTTATGAGATTTCTACGCTTTTTCAGTTGTGGCTCTGGGGCTGGAATAATGAATTCTTTGATCTTTCTCAGTGACTCCTGAAACAGCACAACTAATTTTATAAAGAAATTTATTATTAATAGATTGTTAAAGGCTTTAATAAAATAATATGTAAAAGGAATAAGTTTAAGGAAAGTAATGAATTAGATTTAGTATCAGAAGACATTATAAGAATAGAAAAAGAAATAATGGGCTCCTTCTTAAGAAAAAATAACATGAGAAGTACAGCTGGCACGAGTTTACCCCTCCCTTCAGCGTCTTGTTTCTAGGGAAGATCATAAATCTTTAGCAGGACATAAGGGAGGATGATTGACCAAGGTGTGTTTAGACTTTGGCAGGTATTCGACTTGGCTCGGAGGACTATTACAGCTCCTGGCTTTCCTCTTCACTAGTCAGTGATAATGAAACCATAGTTTGAGGTTTTTGTTTCTTGTTTGCTTTGATCAGAAAGTTTCTAGGCAAAGATTTCTTGTGGGCACTGCCTATGTTAAAACATAAACTTTGTATCCTTGGTAAAAGTCTGAATGTTCTGGAAAGCATGCCAATTTTAATGTGCTTCCTTGTGAGATCACTATAAAAATACTAGCTTGATTTCAGTAAAATTGCAGCAGAGTCAAAACCATCAAGGTGTCTCTGTCTGTCAATTCTTCGCCGAAACCGTGTCTTCCTGTCCAAAGCCTTGTTCTCCCGCGGACGACGGGAGCCCGACTGGGCCGGTCCGTGGCACCAGAGACTTGGTTTTCCAATGGAGAGGAAAACCCCACAGTGAAGGAAGCAATCAGGCTGACCAGCCTTAGGTCATCCAGACAATGCCCAGAAAAGGTCCTTGGCTCCGGCAGGCACTCAGTTGCTACTCCAGAAACACACGCATGCATGCCTGACTAACCCTCCCAGACAAAACTGTGAGCCCCAAACACCAGAGATTTGGTTTCCCTGTTGGGAGTAAACCCCATGGTGAAGGAAACATCAGGGCCAATCTCAGGACACCCAGCCATCCTGGAAAAGTTCCCGGGTTCCTGAAGATGCTCAGTCACCAGCTTGGAGCCACTCACCTATGTCTGCATGCTCTACTCACCATTCCAGACTGAATTGTAGACCCCAAAACACCACAGATTGGGCCCCCCTGCCACCATGGGCCTTCCCACAGTAAGTGAAACATCAGATCTGACATCAGGACACACAGCTAATTCCAGGAAAAGTTCCTGAGTTCCCACAGACTTGGGGCTCTAGCTTTTAGTCACAGGCCTGTGTGCTGTGTGATACGATCATCCACTAGGGTACAGGGGTATAGACTCCAAACTCAGAACTACAGAAGCCTGAGTCCCACAGGATCAGCCCCCAGATGCTTCTAAGCACAACCTGTCTCCCTAGCTAAACTGACAAAATCTAGGGGTTCCCTGGTTTTTCAAGAGGGGTGGGCCAGCAAACACAGTGTACGGGCAGCAGCACCTCGCTAAATTAAGAGCAAGAAACCCAGTGACAGGGCAGCTATCTCCAGGACTTCTCCTGTTGAGAGAAGAGCCTCTGGACTCCCAATGAGCCCACAGGACCATACACCTGATGAGAGCTGTGGCAATTCCCTGAGAAGCACCAGTCATTTGGTGACCATACCCAAAAAGCTGAGGACGGCACCTCCAGTAACAACCATCCTCCTGCCAAAATCATCCCCCCATGATTCTGGCAGGCACCAAAAACTAACAGCCAACACCTGAGACAGCCAATAGGTAGAGGACAACCAACAAAAGCCAAAGCAAAATGGCATCTATAGAACCCAATTATCTAGGAGCAGGTAGTGCTGGGCCCTAACATAAGTGAAATTCAAGAAGATGACATTAAATCTATGCTTACTAAGAAGATAGTGGAGGAAATGAATAAAATACATAAAGAAACAGAAGAAGAGAAAGTCAGACAGATTAGAGCCATTTGTAAAGAAAGAGAGGAACATAAATTCAAACATATTATGCCATCTATAAAGAAATACAGGAAGATACAGCCAAACAGTTTATAGCCCTTAGAGAGGAATACAATGGAGAAAAGACAGCATCTTCACCAAATGGTGCTGGTCTAACTGGATATCTACATGTAGAAAAATGCAAATAGATCCATACTTATCACCCTGCACAAAACTAAAGTCCAAGTGGATCAAAGACCTCAACATAAAACCAGACACATTAAATCAGTTAGAAGAAAAAGTGGGGAAGACCCTAGAACTCAGTGGTACATGAGACAACTTCCTGAACAGAACACCAACAGTACAGGTTCTAAGACCAACAATCAATAAATGGGACCTCATGAAACTAAAAAGCTTCTATAAAGCAAAGGACACTGTCTTCAAAACAAAACGACTGCCTACAGATTGGGAAAGAATCTTCACTAACACTATATCTGACAGAGGGCTAATATCCAGTATATATAAAGAACTAAAGAAGCTGAAAAGCAGTAAACCAAGTAATCCAATTAAAAAATGGGGAACAGAGCTAAACAGAGAATTCTCGATAGAGGAATATAAAATGGCAGAGAAACACTTAAAGAAATGTTCAACGTCATTGCCATCAGGGAAATGCAAATCAAAACAACCCTGAGATTTCACTTTACACCCATCAGAATGGCCAAGATGAAAAACTCAAGTGACAACACATGCTGGAGAGGTTGTGGAGAAAGGGGAACCCTCCTCCACTGCTGGTGGAAATGTAAACTTTACAACAACTCTGGAAATCAATCTGGCGCTTTCTCAGACAACTAGAAATAGCGCTTCCTCAAGATCCAGCCATACCACTCCTAGGCATATACCCAAAAGAGGCCCTCAACTGAAGAATGGATGCAGAAACTGTGTTACATCTACACAATGGAATATTACTCGGCAATGAAAAATAAGGAAATCATGAACTTTGCAGGTAAAAGGTGGGATCTGGAAAGGATCATCCTGAGTGAGTTGTCCCAAAGCAGAAAGACACAGACAATATACTCACTCATATAGACATATAATATAGGATAAATCTACTAAAATCTGTACATCTAAAGAAACTAACCAAGAGGGAGGACCCTGACTAAAATGCTCAATCCCCTTCACGAAAGGAAAAGAGGATGGACAACAGAGGAAGAAGAAAATAGGAAACAACCTAGGAACCTGCCACAGAGGGCCTCTGAAAGGCTCTCCTCTGCAGACTATCAAAGCAGATGTTGAGACTTATGGCCAACTGTTGGGCAGAATGCATGGAATCTTATGAAAGAAGAAGGAAATAGTAAGATCTGGAGAGGACAGGAACTCCACAAGGAGAGCAACAAAACCAGAAAATTTGAACATAGGAGTCTTTCTAGAGACTCATACTCCAACCAAGTACCATGCATGGAGATAACCTAGAACCCCTACACAGATGTAGCCCATGACAGTTCAGTGTCCAAGTGGGTTCCATAGTAATGGAATGAGGGACTGCCTCTGACATAAACTGATAGGCTTGCTCTTTGATCACCTCCCCTTCAGGGGAGAGCAGCCTCACCAGGCCACAGAAGATGACAATGCAGCCACTCCTGATGAGATCTAATAGGCTAAGATCAGAAGGAAAGAGAGGAGGACCTCCCCTATCAGTGGACTTGGGGAGGGGCATGCGTGAAGAAGGGGGTGGGAAGGTGGGATCGGGAGGGGAGGAAGGAGGGGCTTATGGGGGATACAAAGTGAATAAAGTGTAATTAATAAAAAATTTAAAAATATTTCATTTACAAAAAAAAAATTTCTGACACAAACCATCCATGAAATCCAAGAAAACATGAAAAGTCAAAACCTAAGAACAACAGGAATAGAGGAAAAAGAAGATTCCTGTCTCCAAGGCCTAGAAAATATTTTCCACAATATCATAGAACAATTCAAAGAATCAATGAAACCAAGAGCTGTTTCCTTGAGAAAATCAACAATATAGACAAACTCCTAGTCAAGCTAACTAAAAGCAGACAGACACTATCCAAAGCATCAAAATCAGAATTGAAAAGGTGGACATAACAACTGATACTGAGGAAATTCGAACAATCATTAGATCTTACTTCAAATGCCTGTTCACCACAAAACTTGAAAATTTAAATGAAATGGACAATTTTCTTGATTGATTCCACTTACCAAATCCAATCAAGATCAGGTCTATAAATTAAGTAGTTCTATGTCCCCTAAGTATTGGGATCTGTAAGCAGGCATCTCTATGGCCAGCCCCAAGGGACTTGACAAACTGGATATCAGACATCTATGAGGCCACCTATAGACTACGTTTGGACCACATGAAACCACCTGTGCATTCTCTGGGTCACCTTATAAGAGAACTTTCACTACCTCCTCTCTCTGTCTCTCTCACTCTCTCCTGCTGTGCCCAAAGATGGTCTCTTTGACACCCTCCCCCTTCCTTAATAAAACTCCATGTAGAACTAGTTGTGTGGTATGATTTGTGAACCTGCTGTGTAACTTTGCTGCACAATCCTAACACTAAGGAAATAGAAGTGGTCATCAAAAATCTCCCATCCAAAAAGAAAGTCCAGGGCCAGTTATTTTGGGCCCAGAATTCTAACAGACCTTCAAAGAAGAACTAACACAAATACTCTTCAAACTATTCCACAAAGTAGAAACAGAAGGAACATTACCAAAGTCATTCTATGAAGCCACAGTCACCTTGATACCTAAACCTCAAAAAGATCAAGAACACATCAAAGATATCATCTACTATGACCAAGTAGTCTTCATCCCAGGTATGCAGGGGTGGTTCAATGTATGGAAAGCCATCATCAATGTAATCCACCCATATAAACAAACTGAAAGAAAAAAAACAACAACACATAATCATCTCCTTAGATGCTGAAAAGCATTTAATCAAATGCAACACTCATTCATATTCTGGAGAGATCGGGATACAAGGCATCTTCTAGTAAAAGCAATATACAGCAATCCTATAGCCAACATCAAGCTAAATGGTGAGAAACTTACAGCAATCCCACTGAACTCAGGGACAAAGCAAGTTTGCTGACTCTCTCTGTATCTCTTCAACAGAGTACTGTAAGTCCTAAGTAGAGCAATAGGAGATCAACGGGATACAAAAGGGAGAGGAACAAGTCAAAGTATCACTAGTTGCAGATGAAATGATAGTATACATGAATGACTCCAAAATTTCTACCAGGGAACTCCTACAGCTACAGGGAACCACCTTTAGCAAAGTGTTTGGATACAAAATTAACTCAAAAAAATCAGTAGCCCTTCTATATACAAAGGAGAAATAGGCTGAGAAAGAAATTAGGGAAACAACACCCTTCAAATAGCCACAAATAATATAAAGTATCTTGATGTAACTCTACCCAAGCAAGTCAAAGACCTGTATGAAAAAAATCTTCAAGTCGCTGAAGAAAGAAACTGAAGACAATATGAGAAGATGGAAAGATCTCCCATTCTCATGGCTTAATAGGATTAACATGGTAAAAATGCCATCTTATCAGAAACAATCTACAGATTCAATGCAATTCCCACCAAACTACCAACACGATTCTTTACAGACCTTGAAAGAAAAATTCTCAACTTCGTATGGAATAACAAAAAACCTAGAATAGATAAAACAGTCCTCTGCAGTAAAAGATCTTCTGGAGGTATCTCCATCCCTGATCTCAAACTGTACTATAGAGCAACAGTAATAAAAACTGCATGGTACTGGCATAGAAACAGACTGGTGGATCAGTGGAATTGATGAAAATAAAGTTCTTGCTGACATAATTGCATCTTAGCCACAATGTAAGGCTGACCTCACTCTTACTTTTATTGTAGTAACTCAGCCTATCTTTTTTTATTATTACTATTAGTTACATTTTATTAACTCTGTATCCCAACTGTATCCCGCTCCCTCATTCCCTCCCAAATCCTCCCTCTCTCCCTCCCTCCCTCATCTCCTCCCTGCCCCTTTCCAAGTCCACTGATTGGGGAGGACCTCTTCCCCTTTCATCTGACCCTGTTTTATCAGGTATCTTCAGGACTGGCTGCAAAGTCCTCCTCTGTGGCCCTTGGAGGGTGGGGAGGTCAAAGAGCCTGCCATTGAGTTCCTGTCAGAAATAGTCCCTGTTCCCCTTACTATGGGAAACCAACTGGTTACTGAGCTACCACGGGCTACATCCGAGCAGAGGTTCTAGGTTATATCCATACATGGTCCTTGGTGGACTGTCAGTCTCAGAAAAGACCCCTGTGCCCAGGTATATTTGGTCCTTGTGGAGCTCCTATCCTCTCCACGTCGATAACTCAGCCTATCTTAAAGTAGAACTTGATGCCATGAAAAAAAGGTCAGTATTCTTGGGTGATAGGGGTTACTAGGTCACTTGGTCAAGTGCCAGCTGCCACATTCCCTAGTGTCAAGCTTGCTCTTAAGGCCAGAGCAAGCAGAAGAGAAATAAAAATAATTATCAGACTTTATATGTTTCTCTTCTATTACAATATCATATTAAGCCTTTCTACTACATTTCACAAAGGGCCTGATATTAGAGCACACTTATCTCAAAACACTCAGTAAGTTACTAGTGAAGAAAGACTTTGAACCTGCAGGGAATGAAGTCGATCTGTGACCTCTCATTTATTTAATCTTTCTACAGCTGAAGAAAGAAGTAGGCAGGTTTCATCTCAGCAACCTTCTCAGAGCAGCTATGGACAGACAGGTATCCCTCCCCCACAACTACTCACCATCATGTGCTCACCACAGAAGATGATCCAGAAGGAAAGAAGCATTGCATAGAAGATGCCCTGTCGGATGTCACCAAATAACAGCATCCAGGTCCAGTCAAACCCAATGGAAAACCATTCCACAGGGATATTGATAAAGGTCATGGAAATCCCAAGGGCAAAGATGACTCTGATGGTGGGAAAAATACCCAGAAGTGCCAGGTTACTCTGGAGAGAGCAAACCTTAAAAATCTCGATCTAATTTTGGGAACTGAGATGTTCTTTATTCAGACTTTAGCAAGTTTCTACCTTGAAATGCAACTCTGAAAATGTCATACTAACTCCTGTATAAGTAAATGGAACCCCCTTAGAGATACACACTTTAACCGTATTGTCTTCTTGAGTATAACAGTGTCCTCTTACCTCTTTATAATATCACTGCCCTAATCATTAAGAATATGCATCATTAATCATTACTGTGATATACTTGTTGATTGTTAATTATGTAAGTATATTTGTTCCAATAATAAATTATACAACTACACATAAATCCAATTAGTTACTTGTTTTGCTTTTTCTCTACCACACTATTGACTGCCCCTTCCTAGTGGATGCAGAAAGGCTTAAAAGAGGCAGAAATATTTACAGATCTATTTGTAGCACATTTTAGGAAAATAATAGGACATAATAGCAGAGAAATAAAACAAGCACGAACTCATAAAGAAACTTCATCTTAAAGTTATCTGAAAAGGGACTAGCAATCCACTAAAACATTTAAATAATAAAATTACACCATTTATTCACTGAACAAATATTAACTTTAATGTTATAAAGAAAGATAAAGCTATAAGAGAATGGAGAGTGATTTTATATATGGTGAATAGGGAAAGAAACACTACAACGAGAAACATCAAAGCAGAGCTTAAAGGAATAAATAAGGTATTAAGATACTTGGGAAATATTATTTCAGATAACAAAAACAAGAAGGTCAAAGGGTTTCACCTAGAATGCAAGCACCATCACAGGTGCTCCAGAGAACAGGACATAAAACTCAATGGCGTTTACAGGACAAGCCATAGCTAGTAGAACACTAGTAGAGGAGTGGAATGATCTACTGACACTTAGAAGGAGGGAGGAAAAACGATTTTAGTGAATAAACTGTAGTGAAGAAAATATTGTGAGAAAGAGGAGCACTTGAGAGGCTGCTTGTAATAACCCAGATGAGAAGTGATGTAGGTAATTACATTAGGGTGGTAGCAGTGAAGACAGTAAGACTTCCTGGGGATTGGAGAGAGGTGTGAATAACAAGTAGAACACTGAGTAGCTTCCTTCTTTCAAGTCCAGCAAGTAAAAGAGAGGAGTTGCCTTTCACTAATATGGGTGAAGCTTTGGTGGCAGCAGAAAAAAAGTCAAGTATTCTTTATATTTGTTACATTTTTTTCAGTGCAAGAGAAGATGTTAAATAGCTGAGGTGTTTGTAACTAGAGTTGGGAGAGACTAAGACTAAATACGTAAAATAAGAATTATCACACAGTACATAATTTTTAATTTCCAGATTTTAAATTGGAATAAGCAGAATTAAATAAAGTCCAAAATCTCTGCCTGGATCAATAGTGTAAGAGGCTAGAGATATGAGGAAACAGTAATGGAGACTAGGTGAACACCAAAAAGACCGTGTGAAGGAAAGGGGGTGATCAGCTATGTAGACTGATGCTCATGGGTCAAGGATGGTAAGGAGTAGAAGACAGCCATTAAATTTGGACTGAGGCTCTGATTTGTGATCGTATGAAATGACACAGTGGAGGTCAATCAATATTAAAATGGAACCAAGGAGAACTGGAGCAAGTATGTGGGAAGATTTTTGAAAAGAGAATTCTTGTAAAAAGTAGAAAATGGTGTGATGACTTCAGAAGGAAGCGGAAAAGGAGAATTTTCTCATGGTACAGCATACATATATATAATTCTAAATGGAAATAAGACAGCAAAAAGGAGAAGCTGTTGGTATTAGAAAGAAAGAGAATTTATTTACAGGAGTATCATCCTGTGTGTGGGAGGTTCTGAATTCAGTTGGGAGTGGAACAATTTGTCCATTAACAGAGAAATATCTGAAAGCTGACCATGGGACTGAACTACAAAGACAGCAGTATGGGAATAAGCACTCTGAAGACTTACAAATAATTTACATGTGAAATCTGAAGGAGACACAGAGTACAAGATGATTCTTAATCAGTTCATCAACTGAAATCACACACTGGCTGCCCGAGGTAGATACAAAAAATTGAAGCATAGCAAATTATGGGAAGCTAGCATTTGCTAAGAATGATCTGAATCAGTTCTTACTTTTCCAGAAGCACTGGGGGTCGGGACATCATAGTGATCCTCCTCCAATACCACACCATAATGATGAAGATGCTGGGTGTGAGGAAGGTCTTCATAGCAAACCACACTTTAGTGAAGCCTCCATTTTGGTGGATTCCCTAAACAGAAACCAAGTATAATTATGAAGATGAATATATATTGGTGTTATTTTTATAACTAAATGCAAATGAGCAGTTTGTCTACCTGAATATGTTTATAGTCATAGAAGTTACTGTCCTCACATAACTTCTGACACCTCCAAAAATACTGTAGACATATACTGAAAATCATAAATATGAGCCATGCTATGCCAAGGGACTGATTAAGAATATAATCAAAGATTTTTCTTAGGGTCTTCATTCAAACATTGGGGATACCATATGTCTAATAAGCAGTATTGGAAAGGAGGTTTAAATTTATGCTCATAACATGCCATTCTGTAATATGTGGCCTCTTTATGTTATGTTCTACATCATTAAACAAACACCATGGAAAGAACTTAAGTTGTCTCTGTTCTCATTAACATCTGTACCTTTCGTGGTAAAGCATGTTAATTATTTTACTCTTATTTGTTATGCAACCACAATCATCCTATGATCTTATAAAAATTATAATAATTGTATGTGATAGTAAGGCAAGTTAAACATCACAGAGGCCATCACATTCATGCAGAGAAGGTAAAGCACTGAGCTCCAGCCTGAGGTTGCAGGTGCCAAGTCCCCAGCACATCAGCATAGTTATCTGTACCATCATGTGTGCATGAGCAAAAGAAAGCTGTAGCACACTAGGGTCACTCTTACAGCTTGAGCTGGAAACAAAGTAACAAAGCTTCTTTTTTTAAAATTTTCCCATATGACTTAACTTTTGTGATTTTATTTACTCTTTGAGAATTTCATACTATATGTTTTAAGAATAATTCATTTATTTATTATTTATTATAATTTATTCACTTTGTATCCCAGCTGAAGTCCCCTCCCTCATCTCCTCCCAGCCCTACCCTCCCTCTCTCTTCTCCTCTTATGTTCCTCCCTTAGGCCACTGATAGGGGAAGTCCTTCTCCCCTTCGGTCTGACCCTAGCTTATCAGGTCTCATCAGGACTGGCTGCATCCTCTTCCTCTGTAGCCTGGCAAGACTGCACCACCCCCCAGGGGGAGGTTATCAAAGAGCCAGCCACTGAGTTCATGTCAGAGACATACAATATGTTTTGATCATATTTTTTGCTCCTTCCAAGTCCTTCCAGATCCTCCCTTACCTCACTACACAATTAACCTTTTGTACTTTTTCTCTTGTTTAAAAACAAAAATTACACAAAACAAACAAACAAAGGCAAAATCGAAAATTAAACAAAACATGGAGTCCAATCTATGGTGGCCAACTACTCCTGAGCCTGGGGCTTGCCATGGAGTGTGGATAATATGCAAGCATTTGTCACTCCATTGATGAAAACTGATTTTTCCCTATTTTAGCAACTATAAATTATGAATAGCTTCTTGGCTAGGAGGGGGATTTTGTGCTCATTTCCCCTCCTCGGTGCTGGGATTTTGTTTGGCTTTAACTTGTATAACTATTATATGTGAATCTAACCTGTTGTATCTGTAAAATGTTGTTTCCTTGAAGTTATACAACACCTTTGCCTCTTACAATCTTTCTATCCCCTCTTCCACAAAGACTCCTGAACCTTGAGAAGGGATGTGATAAAGACATCCCATTTAGAGATGAGAATTCCAAAGTCTCTCACTTTAAATGTTGTCCAGTTGTGGGGCTCTGTGTTAATTACCATCAACTGCAAAAAGCCTCATCCCTGTTAAGGGTTGAGTGGTGCACTCATCTGTAGGTATAACAATATCTTACTAGAAGCCATTTTATCACTGTGTTCATTTGGCAGAATAACAATAATAAGTTTTTCCTAGGACTCACGACCTATTTTCAAGTTCTTGGCTCCACCTTAAGGAGCAGGCCTTAAATAAAAAAGTAGTTAGTTATTTACATTAATATTTGTGTTACTATTCCACTGGTGGTTATATCTCACAAGAAAGTCATTATTGTAGTTTGCTAGGTGAGACTGGAGATTGTTTTTATCTTCCAGTAGTATTATAGCACCCTCTAGAACTATGAATGCTATCCAGGAGGAGTGAAGCTTCAAATTGAAAGCCAGATAGATTTTTGCATGTTCTCTGTATGTAGATGTTGAATTGTCAATTTAACAATATGGTCTTTTGGTAATCTTTTTAAAAAGATCACTTAATATACTAAGTGCAGAGAGTAATAGGCTGTATGCTCATCTCTAAAGGAAAATGTACTATACACATCCTCCTAAGTTTCAGAGATCATTTCAGAAAAGGGACCTGGAACCCCTGCACAGGTGTAGCCCATGGCAGTTCAGTGTCCAAGTGGGTTACATAGTAATGGGAAGAGGGACTGCCTCTGACATAATCTGATTGGCCTGCTCGTTGATCACTTCCCCCTGAGGGGGGAGCAGCCTTACCAGGCCACAGTAGAGGACAATGCAGCCACTTTTGATGAGAACTGATAGACTAAGATCAGAAAGAAGGAGAGGAGGACCTCCCCTATCAGTGGACTTGGGGAGTGGCATGCATGCAGAAAGGGGAGGGAGGGTGGGATCGGCAGGGGAGGAGGGAGGGGCTTATGGGGGGATACAAAATGAATAAAGTGTAATTAATAAAAAAAAATGACTATGAAACAGACAAGCTGCCAAAAGCAAAAAAAAAAAAAAAAAAAAAAAAAAAAGAAAGACCCAGAAAAGGTAGATGTGGTTTTCTACCACCACAAGGAGGCATCATTTGGGCACATCAAGGCATATGAACTCATCAATTTTCAGTGCATATGCAAAACCTGTACAAACCTGAGCCAGACCCAATCCCAGCATGGAAAAGAGTTATATAACCCTACTCCTAGCCACAAAGCAACTAGCAACTTAGCTACTGGGAAAGGAAGGGTAGTTTTTAAAGTTCAGCCTTTGGTAAGTGAAACAAGCACCAGTGGAAGAACACATGCCCAATAATATTTAGGGCTGCACAAATTTGTCTTGAAGGATTTTTTTGTTGTTGTTGCTGATTTTTGGATTTTGTTTGTTTGTTTGGCACAAAACTGAGAGGATAGGAAAGGAGAGACAGATCTGAGAAGAGTTGGGAGGCTGAATATGATCTAAACATATATAAGACTCAAAACTCTCAAAGAACTACAAGGATTTATTTTTTTCTATAGTCCCAGGAAAATAATTTTAATTTAGTATTTTGGCCATCATGGTTATGTTTTTATTCTCACTTCTCAGATAAATCAACAGATAAGCATTTAGGGTTAGGGTTAGATGGCAGGACTAATAGAGGAGTTCCCATCTTGTATGATCTCAGGGCCCTGTGTGTGCATAGAGATGGAAGAAGTAAGACAGAACTCTTTTTTTACACATATATGATTACTGCATTCTTGACCCCTGCTTCAAGGTGACAGCCTACTGGTTTAGTTACATTCACTTACCACCAACCGAATATCCTTTATCTCCCCAATCCCAACATTGATTTTCTTCTTCTCATTTACAGGTAGCCGGATATTTAGAAGGTAGTACTTATGAGCCACTGACCCAATTTCCATGAAAGGAAGGACATCACATTCATAATAACGACCTTCATGCTCTAGGGTCTGGAAAATGATTAGTTAGTTTGAGGCAGATTATTTTTTCCAAAAAACTAAATGCATTCATTTGATTGAGCTCATATCAACAATTTTTAAAATACTAATGTGTTAAGGTACACATTAAAGGAACAGATCTACATGACACGCTGGAATACTGGTGCCCACTGAACTACTCCACAAAGATGGAGAGAAGGGGAGGTGAGATATATCAACCTCAATTCAGATAAAACCAAAGAATTTTAGCTAAAAACCAGATATTTCTTTTGTTTTTTGACACCTTTCTCATTAGAGTTCACATCAGAGGCTTGCATCATACCACTACTATAGTTTAGGAAAATCTATTTTAGAGAAGGTCACCAGAGACCTCCAAAGACTCCATGTGTGTAGAGGAGGAAAGCCTTTGCTGAAGTCCATCACAATCTAGATGATAGATAATAGTTTTCACAGTGAAATATAAAAAGCTAAAATGATCTGACATAAATAAAAAAAAAGTAGCAGTGCATTGGTGCTGGGGGAAAGTGGCTCAAAATTTAAGATCACTTGCTGCTCAGATTTCATTCTCAGCATCCGCACAATAGATCAAAATGGACTATAACTTGAGTTCAAAGGTACCTTATTCTGCACTCCATGGGCTGGCTGCATGCATGTGCCATACTCACATAAATACAGGAAAAATTAATACTTGTAAAATAAAAATATATAAAATAAAAAGAAGTTGTACACAGTACAATGGGATCCTTTTGCTAGAGATACTCACAGGATAGGTGTTTTCTGCACCTATCCTGAACCTTCTAACAACCCAAGAGGCAAGTTGGCAGGAGAAAGCCAAAATTTTACCTAAATAGAAATTTATCCGTGTTCCCAGGAAAGCCTCTTGAACTTCTTAGCAATTTAAGAATAACTGTGGTAGTGGGGAACTAAATTCTGCTATACTTCTCAAGGCATCTTGAGTATGTGCCTATTAAAGGTGGATTTGCAAAGCTGTGGGTGACTATGGCGTGCAGAAGCATGAGCTGTAGCAGGCAGTAGGAACTTTTCCTGAAAAGTAGATTTAAGTAGGAAAATTTTATGTGCCCTGAATAAGTGAATGGAGGTGAATTATTTCTCATTCCTAGATCTGAGTTGTTTGATGTGACATTCATAATTTGTCAAATTAGAGAAAAATATCTAAATGTGCATAAATATATATTAATCCAGTGAGAAGATGAGCAGGAGTCTATAGTCGATCATAAAAAAGATTCCGTATTCTGTGCCTTATATAATGGTGGCAGGGCCTCTTTAAGGAACATCAGGACTTAAAAGTACAATGAACATAACTCTGTGCAGAGACAGGAGACATCTGTAGACTAGGCAGAATAAAACTGGCAAACAGTTCATGCACATCTGCATTCTTTTCTCTTTTCTTGCCTGGTCAGACATCACTAGTTAGTCCCTTCCTAGTACAGACAGACATTAGCAATGAGTCATGAAAACTTACCTTCTAAGGCATGAACACTCTTGTCAGACACTATCAATTACTTAGGGGTATCAAATAAGATTTTTAAAGTAAAATAATTCTGTGTAAAGAGTTCTGCTTCTTTCTCAAATTAGAATTTTTAGATGATTCTTCTTATATAATGATTCCTACATAATGGCCTTTCTGCACCTGAACTCCCCCCTTTTTTTCTTTTCTTCTTTACTTATAAGTGGGTCTAGAAGTAGAAATCTGTAGGAATTAATGAAAATAAACTATGAGCTGTCTACCAGGATCAGTGTCAAACTCACCATAGGGGCTGGAAGGGCTTGCTTGTTTCCTTCCTTCATTCCTTTGTTCCTTCCTTCCCTCCCTCCTCCTTTCTTTTTAAAATATTTATTTATTTGTATTTTATATGTATTGAGTATTTTGCCTGCATATATGTATGTGTACCATATGTGTGCCAAGCTTGAGGTTTTCTTTTAAAATTTCATCCTCTACCAGTATTTATGGCATTTAAGAAAAATGAAGCTGGGCAGGGTCGTGCAGACCTGTAATCCCAGCACTCAGGGAAGTAGAGGCAGGTGGATCTCTGTGAGTTTGAGGCCTGCCTGGTCTACAAAGCAAGTCCAGAACAGCCAGGGCTGTACAGAGTAACGGCTATGCAGAGAAACACCCATTTCAAAAAAACCAAAAAGATACTCTTATTTTCTCCCTTTCTCTCAGTCTCCCACCAGCCTTCCCTCTTTCCCTTCCCTTCCTCCTGCCTCCCTATCTTCCCCTAGCTCGTGCGTAAGACTGCCTAATTTGGGCAAATTACAGCAGATAGCAACTTGACTATTTTTTTTCTTGACTTCACAATACACTAGCGACTAAAGAGCTTTATAGCAATTTCTCATTTAATCTTCAGAATCAAGATTAAACTTTATCATAATCAAAATGCATAGATTTGATAATTCATTTTCTTCACACCTTTCAAGGTCTAATCTCTTACTAAAAAGAGATCAACACATCCTAAAGATAATTAAGCCCCTGTCCTTGAGAAGCAGTTTCAGGCAGCACCTCCATAACACACCTCCTAGTATGTAAGGAAAGTGAAAAATAACTACTTCTTTTCATGAGAAGAAAATTTTCTATATCCAAAAGGCCTATAACTTATATTTAACTAAGGCCTCCTCTGAAAGATGCAATCAGTTTACATCACATACAGAAAAAAAAAGTTTTCAATTTCATAAAAAAATATGAAATGTAGTATTTATCTTTCAGTTTCCCCTAGCTTATGGACACCTATCATTTTTAGCTATAAATTACTTTCAAGAAACAGTTCAAGGTTGTTTAACAGATAGCTCTATATTTAGACTGTGAACAAAGAAAGAGCCTGGGGTAGGAGTTTTCAAGTTTTTTTCATCTATGAGTATGAATTCAAAGTGCTCTAAAATAAAGTTTTTGGTCCTGTCTCTATGATTTGACTCAGTAGTTATTATGGCTTGAATTTCCCCTCTCAATACTAATGTTGAAATTTAGTTGTTATCATGATTACGTCATGATGGTTCTGCTCTCATGCAAGAATTAGTACTATCATTGTGGAGATGCATTAGTTATCAAGCAAAATGTTTTGCTATGTGAAGCTCACTTTTGTCCCATATTCTCTCCAATATAGGTTTGATTGCCCTCCTACCATGGCTTAGTGTAGTACAAAGGACCTGAACAGATTCCAGTGCCATGCTTGTAGACTGTCGGCTTCTACAAGTATGAACCATATAAATTTCTATTATTTATAATTTATTCATATGTCATAAGAAAATAGTAGGTTTTATGTGTGGCCTGGCAATCTATATTTTCCATAAGCTTTCAATTCGTACTGATGTCCTTGGTCCTCAGACCATCTTTGTGTAGTGAAAGCCTAGAAAACAAACTGCATGTTGGGGAATAGTTTGTCTATGAGAGTTAGAGTTACAGTTGACACTTTTTGTCCAGGCGGCCCATCTTGCATTTCATTCACAAACATAACTCAGAATTATTGTTAAATTATAAAGCCACAGTACATGTTCCTTACTTCCTCTGGCTCTTATAAAAACAAACAAATAAAAACCACCAAGGTTACTATACATTATCTTTCATTTTGCAGAAAAAAAAAGAATAGAAAAATTATAAAGCTTGACTGTGATCACAAGTTAGTTTCAGAACCTGAATTCGGGCCACATATGTTTTATTCTAAAACATGATTTTAATTTACATTAAAAATACATGGCTATTTATGCTCAGCATGGTATTCAGAGGCTTCCACCTACCATTCTCATTATTAACTTTGCCCTTACACTTACAGGCAAAAACAAAGTTTCAAAAAGGCAGTGCTAGAAGAATCAAATTTGTCTGATTCTACACAAGTTTTTCAGGAGCAAGATGAAAACAAAAGATGAGAAAAAAACATGACCAAAATTTATTCAGTGGAAAGCCTAGCCTCTCATTCATTTCAAAAAAGCAAATCGAAAACCTTCTGTTCTTTATGGGACATCACAAGTCACTTGATTGATAGTACTCCATGCCAAGAATCAAAGACTATCAAGTCAGCAATAAAGGTACCCTACCTTGGGAGATGTAAAAATACATTTGAGTTTACGTGGTACTCTTTCATGGGCCATTTCAGTCCATTCTGAAAACATATCATCACGGTAACCCAAGGAAACATCCATGGAAACTTCTGCATTTTCTCCTGCAAGAGAAAAGATGCACAATTCAGAAATAATTTGGGGAAATATAGATTGGAAATATTTCAAAATTTTCACAGGCTCTGCCATGGAATCCAAAAAAACACAAGAGATATTATTATCAAACTCCAAACCTGAAGACTGAAGTTACAGGACTAAAGTCTAATATGGATGTTGGAGCTCCTCCTATGACTACTCTGCTAGTCAAAAACTTCCATGTAAACTTTAGCAGAGATGAGAAGTTTATTCTCTCTGAGGCAGCTCAGTTGCTAAGAATCTGAATCATGATTAGAACTTATCCTTCTGTAACGTGGACCACTGGTCTAAAATACACCTATAAGGGCCACATGGAAGTTGCTGTATAACATATTTCTACAAAGGTACCTTAGATACTTGATTATACTTGATATTACCCTTGATATTTGCTTGTTGTTTGCTTTTCTCTCACTTCTCTGCTTTAGTTTTGAAATGTTTTGACGTTATCTCACAAGAGGCTTTGTCCTCAGTGTTGAAATAGTAAAACCCTTAAGTAGGTTTAGCAGATTTTTATTAGATCACTGTGGTCTCCACCTTCAAAGAAGTGAATCATTTTCCACCAGAATAGGTTGCCATAGAGAAGGTCTGAGCTCTCTTCAGTCTCTGTTTCCTATCGTAAGGAGTGATTGCTCTCTCTCTTATTTACTCCCATTATAACATTCAACATGTTGCTATGTACCTAGGAGGCCATTACTAGAGACTGAATATTTAGTCATGGCTTGTCAGCCCCCCAGATTGTATATTAAATAAACTTCTTTCTTCACTTGTAACATAACAGAAAAATAACTTAGACATTTGAATTCCTTCAGTGCTAACCTCCAGGAAGTATCCATCAAAAAACTACCAAAAAGTCTATAACCTATTTCTCTGAAACTAAAAAGTTCCTCTTCATAATGTGTAAAATTAATGCTTTAAAAAGAAAAAACTTATAGATGGATAGTGAGTATAGGTAGATGTACATAAACTTCCACATCAACCGAGACTCTACTAGGGTTAATTTACCACTTTGCCTATATAATATGGCTAATATCTACTTATAAGTGAGTATATACCATAGGTGTCTCTCTGCTTCTGGGATATCTCACTCAGAATGATCTTTCCTTGTTTTATTCATTTGCCTGCAAATTTCATGTTTTCCTTGTTTTTAATAGCTGAGTAGTATTATATTGTGTAAATGTACCATAATTTCTGTATCCATTCTTTGGCTGAGGGACAGCTAGGTTGTCTCAGTGCTTATGAAGAAGAACTGGTCTGTACTCCCAATGGTAAATTTAATAGTAAAAATATCCTCTTTCACTTGTAACACTAACATTAGAACTAAGACTTTCAGAACCCTTGCTCAGATGTAGCCCGTGGTAGCTCAGTAACCAATTGGTTTCCCATAGGTTACTGGGAACAGGGACTATTTCTGACAGGAACTCAGTGGCAGGCTCTTTGACCTCTCACCCACCAAGGAAGGTAGCAGTCCTGCTAGGCCACAGAGGAGGACTTTGCAGCCAGTCCTGAAGATACCTGACAAAACAGGGTCAGATGAAAGGGGAAGAGGTCCTCCCCAATCAGTGGACTTGGAAAGGGGCATGGAGGAGATGAGGGAGAGAGGGTGGGATTGGGAGGGAATGAGGGAACAGGATACAGCTGGGATACAGAAGTTACTAAAATGTAACAAGAAAGAAAGAAAGAAAGAAAGAAAGAAAGAAAGAAAGAAAGAAAGAAAGAAAGAAAGAAAGAACGAACTAGGACTTTCAGTAATATTGAAGCAACACTTGGATAATCACTAGACTTAAGAGCACAAATGTAAAAAAATAGAAGTTATTAACTCCCTTTGAATACAATAGTAGCTCACATATTGTTCTCCTTGGAAGACTATTCTCCTTGGAAGCATACGCATGTCTTACACATGGACACGGTAAACTTAGTTTGGGCCTCACCTTATTAAAGAGTTCCACTCTGTGTCGCTCTCTTTACCTCTTCCCTCTTTAAAGGACTTGATTCTAGAGGACAGGAAATGTGCACACCCAGAGCCTACCTATGACCCATTTTTGTCTTGTGCTATTCTGGAAATACTCTTGGACAGCTCTGATCTCTGATCTTCCTCTGGGGATTTCTATGATTTCCCCCAAATGGTTGTTTAGTTCCTCTAAACAACCATTTGGATGATTCCTCTAAACAACCATTTAGTTCCTCTAAACAACCATTTGGATGGTCAAGAATTATCAAAAGGCTGCCGTTTACAGAAAGGTCTGCACAACTAGAACTCAGAGTTTGAAATACTCTTGAACAATCAATGAGAATCCTTTCTGTGGGTAGGATGATGGGTAGGAGATTAAAAGTGGGCAAAGGGGCTTTCTGATCAGTCATATACTGGCACATAAGTTTGTGAAGTCCAAGACTCCCCAATTCAAAACTGGTATTCCAGCTCATTATCAAAGTAAATCTGTTATAATCAAAAAAGTAGATTATATTTACACATTTTATTGGTCAAATATATCACTGTGAAATACTTCTATAGTCAGTATGTCTTCAGGTATACCCCTACCCTGGGCCCCACAAAAAGCAGCAGTAGGTCTACTTAGAGCAGATATCTCTGGCAGATAGAAGACAAAACAGTTTTGATCCCTGGCCTGGCTCTAGCTTCCTCAGTTCTTCTAGTCTGCTGAAAATGTTCAAAAGAAAAGCAATAAAAAATTTACACACTATTAGTATACAATTACTCTATTTTAAATAAAAATAACCTCTGAGGCTTATTTAAATAATCTAGTTTAATTTTCAATCAACTCTGATATATAGACATTGATATCTCCTTTTGATTTATAAGTAAACTGAAGCTTTCAGATATTAAGTAACTTTGCATAAAGCTATATTTGTTGATATTAACATAAGGAAGATAATGAATCTGAAGTTGCCTTAAAAGAAAATCATAACTGAGCAACAACTCAGTGGCAAGTCCTGGGTTCAAGCCCTAGAACTGCCAGAGAGAAGGGGACAGGGAAGGAAGGAAGAAAGGGAGGGAGGGAGGGAGGGAGGGAGGGAGGAAGGAAGGAAGGAAGGAAGGAAGGAAGGAAGGAAGGAAGGGAAAGAAGGAAAACATATCAGTTTACCCATTTTTCAGCTTTGCTGTAAGAGTAATGACTAATTAATTTGCTTTACTATAAGTAATCTTTTTGCTATATACATCTTAAAACATCATATTGTATATATTAAATGTACTCAGAAATTTCTAAAGATCACTACTTGATTTGTATCACTTGAAGAAAATTGTCAAACTTGTCATAGAAAATGCTCCTAAGTTAGTCACAGACTACAACTTCCATATAAATGACCTCTGTCCCTGCTGGCCTAACTACTTTTATCAGATAAAACAGAATTAGAAAAACATCCAGCAGCAAAATTTAGCATGCTTCATGGAAGATCTACTCAACTCTGATCAAAGCTTTCTAATGTGTTTCTAGCAGGGGCAAGGATGGCTGAAAATCATCTCTGAAACCCTCTAACCCAAGCCTGGGGTCAAAAATACCTTTGTGTGGGAATTGCAGAGTAAACCAAAGAGTACCAAGTTGGAAACCTGGGGAATCAGTTGATGTGGTTCTGTCTGTCACTGCATGTGTAGTAAAGACAGATTAATGTAGGTGGTGTATGAGGCTGTCTAAGGAGAAAGCACTATGTGCTCCTTTGGTAGACAGTGGTACTAACAGACTGCCTGTATTAACAGACTGTCTTAATTTTGTTGTTGTTGTTGTTAAAAGAGAAAAGCCAGAAATTAAGAGGTTTTGTTGTTTTTGTTGTTATTTTAAAATAAGAGTCTGGTCAGAGTTGAGTACCTTTTCCATAAAGCATGCTTAATTTAACTGCCTTGGTGTCTTTTGAAGTCTGTTTTCTCTGACAAAATTGTAGGGAGAACAGAACTTGGGGTGATTTAGATGGAAGTTGAAGATTCTCCTCTTCCATTCACTAGTCATGTATTTCTGGGCAATTTATGCAATCTCTTTCCAAAAGAGAAAACATGGAAACACATTAAAATGTGATAAGGAAGCCATTGTTCTTTCCAAATATTGAAACACTTTTTTTTTTTTTTTTTTTTTTAGTAACATGATGACTAAAACTCCCTTCCTCAAAATCTCAGTGCAGGTGCTCTAATAGAGTACCAGGAAACCTCAGACAAAGCACATATTTTTCATGCTGGCCAACACATCACCCTTTTGCTTCTTCCCATCTTGCCAATAGGTCAAGTTCAAAATTCTCTAGCTGTTTACTATATTTACAGCCTGTTATTTTACCCATTATCTGCTTACTCCCTGTGTAGTTGAGGACAAGGGTATTATTTTTCCTATGTGTGAAGAAGAACTCAGAAAGTCCAAGTTCTCAAAATATTCCAGTGGCTAGTGTGTCCTGGCTGTTAGCCTCAGCATTTTTATATTTTTCCTTAGTATATGTGAAGTCCAGAAATACGGGAAGAATGGCTGTTCCAATAACCTTTTGGCTCCCTCACTGAAATCAACGCTATTTTTCCCAGGTTAGATGCTTTGGGTTCCTCTCCTGTTACAATAGAACTCTTCCTTTAGCTCATTTTATAACCACTAAACTAATCACATCATGAAAATTGCTTAGAACAGTGTATAAAGCATCAAGGATAGCAATTTCTGTCATTTTATTGGGGGAAGTGAATTCTCAAATCTACCTTTCATTCAATAAAATAGCAGGTGAGAAAAACATGGAACTTCCCTCCAAAACTATTCCAAACATGAAACACAAAACTCTAACAGGAGAGCACTAGGCAGAAGTCAGTAAAGCTGTGCTATTCTTTAATGAACTTCTCTTCTGCCTTTCAATGGAGTAGGAAATCTCATGGCTCCTGGGATACTCCTGACACCTTGCAGACATAATTAAGACTACATACCTGTTTTGAACTCCCTGTGAGAAGGGCAGGATGAACAAGGTTACAAATGACATTGGGAAAAGCTACCTATAAAGA